TTCTCATAACACACAAGGACTCCAGATTTTTGAGTTCTCAAACACACAGGACTCCAGATTTTTTAGTTCTCATAAACTTGCAAGGACTCCAGATTTTTGAGTTCTCATAACACACAAGACTCCAGATTTTTGAGTTCTCATAACACACAAGGACTCCAGATTTTTGAGTTCTCATAACCACACAAGGACTCCAGATTTTTTGAGTTCTCATAACACACAAGGACTCCAGATTTTTGAGTTCTCATAACACACAAGGACTCCAGATTTTTGAGTTCTCATAACTTGCAAGGACTCCAGATTTTTGAGTTCTCATAACACACAAGGACTCCAGATTTTTGAGTTCTCATAACCACAAGGACTCCAGATTTTGAGTTCTCATAACAAACAAGGACTCCAGATTTTTGAGTTCTCATAACTTGCAAGGACTCCAGATTTTTTAGTTCTCTTAACTTACAAGGACTCCAGATTTTTGAGTTCTCATAACACACAAGGACTCCAGATTTTTGAGTTCTCATAACACACAAGGACTCCAGATTTTTGAGTTCTCATAACTTGCAAGGACTCCAGATTTTTGAGTTCTCATAACTTACAAGGACTCCAGGTTTTTAAGTTCTCATAACACACAAGGACTCCAGATTTTTGAGTTCTCATAACTTGCAAGGACTCCAGATTTTTGAGTTCTCATAACACACAAGGACTCCAGATTTTTGAGTTCTCATAACACACAAGGACTCCAGATTTTTGAGTTCTCTTAACTTACAAGGACTCCAGATTTTTGAGTTCTCATAACTTACAAGGACTCCAGATTTTTGAGTTCTCATAACTTACAAGGACTCCAGATTTTTGAGTTCTCATAACTTACAAGGACTTCAGATTTTTGAGTTCTCATAACTAACAAGGACTCGAGATTTTTTAGTTCTCATAACTTACAAGAACTCCAGATTTTTGAGTTCTCTTAACTTACAAGGACTCCAGATTTTTGAGTTCTCATAACACACAAGGACTCCAGATTTTTGAGTTCTCATAACTTACAAGGACTCCAGATTTTTGAGTTCTCATAACTTACAAGGACTCGAGATTTTTGAGTTCTCATAACTTACAAGAACTCCAGATTTTTGAGTTCTCTTAACTTACAAGGACTCCAGATTTTTGAGTTCTCATAACTTACGAGGACTTCAGATTTTTGAGTTCTCTTAACTTTCAAGGACTCCAGATTTTTGAGTTCTCATAACTTACGAGGACTTCAGATTTTTGAGTTCTCTTAACTTACAAGGACTCCAGATTTTTGAGTTCTCTTAACTTACAAGGACTCCAGATTTTTGAGTTCTCATAACTTACGAGGACTTCAGATTTTTGAGTTCTCTTAACTTACAAGGACTTCAGATTGTTGAGTTCTCTTAACTTACAATGACTCCAGATTTTTGAGTTCTCATAACTTACAAGGACTCCAGATTTTTGAGTTCTCATAACTTACAAGGACTTCAGATTTTTTAGTTCTCATAACTTACAAGGACTCCAGATTTTTGAGTTCTCATAACTTACAAGAACTCCAGATTTTTGAGTTCTCATAACTTATGAGGACTCCAGATTTTTGAGTTCTCATAACTTACGAGGACTCCAGATTTTTGAGTTCTCATAACTTACAAAAACTCACAATTTAGAGTTCCCATTACCCACAAAAACTCATAATTCCGAGTCCTCAGGACCTGCAAGAACTCAAAATTCTAAGTTCTAAGAACTTGGAAAAAGATGAAAGGGGGGGAGGGGTGAGAGAAGAAAAAAAACAGAATCGTGAAAAAAAAAATGTCTGGAGAGGCTTTGCCCGAGGAAGGAAGGCGAGAGTAAATAATTCCCTTCATTAATATCAAATTCGAGAAGGACCGTATGTTGACCTAACACTGATGCTCGTCACATCAACACAACGCTCGAATACTTTCCAAAGAATCTCAAAGAATAGAATGGCTTATTAGGCCTTTTTTTTTCTTTCAGATTTTTTTTTTTTTTTTTTGCCCGGTGGAGCTGGTAGATTATTGTGTCGCCCCTATATCCATCCTGTGGACGGCAGCACAAGGGTCTATGGATAAGCAAAAGGCCTAGGAATTAGCCCCCTAACCTCAAAATAAGGGGGTTGACAGAAATACATGTGGATTTATATCTATAATTTGTTATGATTTGTAAGCAAAGATAGGATAGTTGCTTGATATGTCTGGTATCTTAATATGTCTGGTATCTTAATATGTCTGGTATCTTAATATGTCTGGTATCTTAATATGTCTGGTATCTTAATATGTCTGGTATCTTAATATGTCTAGTATCTTAATATGTCTGGTATCTTAATATGTCTGGTATCTTAATGTCTGGTATCTTAATATGTCTGGTATCTTAATATGTCTGGTATCTTAATATGTCTGGTATCTTAATATGTCTGGTATCTTAACATGTCTGGTATCTTAACATGTCTGGTATCTTAATATGTCTGGTATCTTAATATGTCTGGTAT